TAGATGTAGAACGTGTAATCACAGACCCTGAGACAAGTTGAATTCCTTAATACAGCCAATGAAGGTAAAGTTCTGCAAACCACCTTCTTCGTGTATCATGAAGTTCAAATCGTTCATACGTGATAAAGAACACGAAGAAGGTGGTTTGCAGAACTTTACCTTCATTGGCTGTATTAAGGAATTCAACTTGTCTCAGGGTCTGTGATTACACGTTCTACATCTAACTGTGAACCATCAACAACTGCTATTTGTATAACAACGATAGCGCTAATATACTTTATGCAATCGGAACATTTTATACATATAAAAACTCAAAATATTATCACATATATACAAAATGTATTAAGTACTTAGAGTTTGTATTTGGGTTGTATATATCACATTGTGAAAGCAATTCTGCGAATTCTCAGTTTAACTGATGAAACACACACATGAATTCGATAGCGATTTGACGTAGGTTATCAATTTATTATGTGCAAAATGTATGTATTCACGCATGATATACCTTTTACTTTATACACATTTCGTTATATCGCTTGCTGGTGAACTATATTGTTCAATGCATACATCGAATTACATTACATAGGGTCATTCTGTGTCAATTACGGCTTTGAGAAATCCTTCTGCGCTCACTGCATGCAAATAGTTGAGACGTCTACCAGAGTCGGATGTACTGAAATCCTCCACTCCTTGAACTTCGCCTTGGGTGTCCTGGAATGTCATGTGAGGCCAACAAGTCGCCTATTTGGTAAATTGGACAGAAAAAAGTATTCTCACCTCCGAAACCTCAGTAAGGTATCGTCACTTATTTTAAATGCTCTACTCACGAAGTATAGTTAAAGGGAGGTGTAAACGGTGCTGGAGGCTGAGTGAAACATGGCTTTTTATGCTTTGGTAATCGAGGGTAGCATGGAATGATAGGGAAATCTATTGAGCAATGTATGCGAATAACCAAAATCTTTTCCGGTCATTAAAAACGTACTATTTATCACTCGCAGACCCACCGCATTCTGAAAACAGTTGACCGAGTTCAGGAGCCAAGCGGATCAACCTGACTTATGATGTGTATCCCGCTTTGCGTTGTTCCTCGATGACCTACTTATAAGTAGTATTTTATGATTGTTCCAAATTATATCAATCGGTAAGGTGAAATGTAATGCAGATGAAAATCCGAAAAACTGAATTTTAAAATTAATAAAATCCTGGTACGGATGTATTGCTGTTTTTACTCAATTTAGTTCAACAATATGTGGACCTGAAGAGGTCTCTGAATTCGCCATTACCAGTGACGTAACAAGCAATTTTTAGATTTGATGATACTGCCTAACTCAATCGCAGTGCATTTTTGTTGTCAATCATCCAGAGGCTGAGGCCACCATAGCCCAGGCTCGATTGGACCACTACCTGCATCTGCTGCGGTTGCATATGGATCTTGTTTGATGACGACGAGGTGGAACCAGCAGCATCAACCAGGGTAGAAGCGGCATTCAGGCTTGGAAAACCCCGCCCAGATAATTCTCGACGGCCACTGGTTTTTCGGGTTGAAGGTGAGACCAAAGCGATACTCCAGCGGACCCACAAGCTGGAGGGAACTCCTATGCGGTTCCTCAGGGATATTGATCCGGACCAGCGGAGTAAACTGAAAACTGCATTAGAAGAACTCAGGGAGCGCCATGCGAAAGGGGAAACTGATCTGTGTATACGGGATGTTCGTGTGCATCCGAAGCGCCTCAGCGGCATTGGACCCAGGAAACTGTTTAACCACGGACGGACGGAACGGGTTGAGGCGCAAACGAATGGGGAAACCAGGCTGTGCTAGCCTGAAACAATATCCGAGGGATGCTGGGAAAAAGGGATGAGTTGGAAGACTGGGTTGTGTCCACAATCCTGATCCTTTTGCAATTACCGAGACCTGGATGACACAGGATGTCCGAGATTCCGAAATATTCCATTTTGCCTGTTCGCCGAGCTTGGCAATTTGTTTGCAAACGTTTCATCACCAGCCGAGGTGACATCATCAGTGCTAGTGAAGTGGCCGAAATATCACTGCAGGGTGTTACGAACGGATCGAATATCGTCACGTCGCGGTAATGGAGTTGTTCATTTTGTCTTCCCGGGTCTCCCTGTTCGAGTGCTGGAGCACTGTACCCATCCGGAAGGATTTAAAGAAGCCCTGTGGTGCGGAATCAAGCTTTGTGCTGGAGGGTATACCACAGTTGGAGTGATCTATTGCACACCGACCTTTTACGTCTCGGAGCTGTTGGCCAGGATACAGAGGTACACCTGCGATGGACATTGTTGACATTCTCGGATGATTTCAATGCCCCACATATTGATTGGGAACCTGATATCTGCTCTCGGTATGCAGGTTTGTTTTCCAGAGAAATTCTTTTCGTTGTCTGGCTCTCTCGCTTGTTTAGCATGTTCATGTGCCCACGCGGATGGCTGGGGATCAAAAATCTATCCTTGAATTGGTGTTTTCGCCGATGCAATCAGATACAATCAGGATTGACTTCCTTCCACCAATTGAATCTAATGATCACTCCGTTCTGCGTATACACCGGGGGCGTGGCGTACCCCAAACGGACAGACCACAGGACGGACGGAATATGTGGCGCTCATCCTTCCCGGATATGCGTCAGGCTGCATCGCTCATAAATTGTGATTCCCGAAGCGCCGAGAATGTGGATGAATCCTGGGAGTTGGTTCGTCATGGAATCCATCACCTGATACTGGAATTCTCTCCATCTCACCGCCACCGAACATACGCTATGAGCCCGCCGTAGTTTGATCGAGAACTGCGGACGTGCCTCAGGGAGCGGAATAAAGCCTGGTCCAGGTACCGTGCAACAGGCGCAGGATATGAGGAACGTCGACGTATTTGGAATCATTGTACTGCACTGAAAAAATGCAAGAGAACCAAATTCGAGAAACGACTCGCAGCGAATTCTGTACAGGCACCAAAGCGATTGTATGCCTAACTCAGGCGAATAATCAGAGCAACGCCTGGTCTCCCGACTCTCGCCAAAGACGGGTCACAAATAAAAAAAGATGAGGATAAAGCGGAGATGTTCGCGTCACATTACGCCTCAGCGTACACCCCAGACTCCAACACATTAGCACCTCCATTCGACACTGACTCTGCTCTGAACTGAACTCTATTTACCATAGGAGAGGTTGCCCTGGAGCTGCGTCGGGCAAAAGTTCATCAGTCACCTGGACCTGATGATATGCATCCGCTTATCCTGAGGGAGTTGGCAGATGAACTCGCTGTGCAACCTATTCAATGTGTTGTTCACACAAGGGCGTTTACCGCGGCAGTGGAAGGACGCTGTCATTGTTCCACTGCCCAAAGGTAGGGATAGGAGTGACCCTCAAAACTACCGACCAGCCTTACTAGTGTTGTGAGTAAAGTAATGGAGCGGCTGGTGGCTGCACGGCTTTGGCAGCATTTGTTTTACCGCGGTCACCTGTGCCACCAACAATACGGTTTCCGGCCGGGTCGCTCATGCCTCCCAAACCTGCTTCTGGCCCGTGAATGCTGGATCGAGGACAAGGCCAAAGGACACGAAACGAATATCATCGCCGTGGACTTCAGCAAGGCCTTCGACAAGGTGCCACACTACCGCCTTCTGCGAAAGCTGTCCAACCTGGAAGTAGGTGTGGTCATGCTGAATTGGCTGCTAGACTTCCTCATTGGCCGGAAATTGTGCGTCCGTGTTGGCAAATCGCTATCCATGTGGTATTACGCTCCAACCTGGCTCAGTGGGCTGACACCTGGGCTCTTCCACACAGCAAAGTGTGCTCACATGCACTTGGTGCGTGCTGGCTCATAGGTAGTCTAAAACTTCCAGGGAACCTCATTGTGCAGAACATCGTGCGAAAGAGACGTGAGAGTTATGTTTGCGTCATCACTAAAGACTTGAGAAAACACCGATCGGGTCTCTGCTAGCGCGTGGAGCATTCTGGCGCATATTCAACCGGCTCACGATGGAAGCTTTTAGACTGCTTTACGCTTCTCATGTCAGACCAATACTTGAGTATGGTGGTGCGGCGACATACCCCTGCACGGCCGGTGAACTGGCTGCCACTAGACTCGTTGTTGGACTACGCGAGACCAGCTATGAAGGTCGTCTACAGGCTACTGGTCTGTTCCCAATTGCGTATCGACGCCTCAAGGGAGATCTCATCTGCCTGAGGAAGATCCTGAGAGGTGATATGGGCCCGGAGATGCAATAGTACTTCGCCTTACGGACAAAGCACCGCACGAGGGGGCACTCACACTCAGTTGGTCTTCCGTTAGTCTACCGACTCTCGCAGAGGTCAACAACACNGGAATTCCCTGTCAGCGACCGTGGTGGAGGAGAAGGCAGACACTGCTTTCAGACGCGTCTGGATGAGCACCTAAAAGGGCTATGGAGGAACGAACACTTGTGATCGGACCTTCGACCCAGTGGTGATGGGGCTTGAATGGGCACCCTTTCCTCTGCCCTCCATATTGAGGACTGAAGACAAACTGAATAGGTATAGTTTTTCTGAGTGATTTGGAGACACCACAAGAGGATGAAAAACATCGTGTACATAGCATGGCACAAAGTGCACTGTTTACATGTTGCATGTCGTATGATAATTACGTTCATCAATGTGAGGATGACAAGAAATAATCTTTTATTCATTTTGAGATTTTTATGGTCGTTGATATGTTAGTCGTGAAATATGTCTATGGGTCAATCCTTTACTAATGTGAGTTGCAGGATTTTGTTCTTGACTATCCAAGGCGCTAGTCTTGGCATACAAATCTGCACCTTCTTTCTCAATCCGAAATTTCCTTCTTATAATATTCCACATAAACAATGCCATAAAATCGACATCTCCTTCGAGATTAGACTAACAGAGCACGCTATCTTCACCCGTTTGCGATTTGTTATTTATCTTCCCAGTCATTCGTTTTAATTAGTGCATAAGTCAAATAGAGTGACTTTACCCAACATGTTTCCGCCAGAGAAATCTGAAAGTGGTTTAGTCAAATCCGTTTTTTAGCACTTCTCATCAGGCCAATACAGTGCACAATCGATCATGCAAGAACAACATATACCGTGATCACCCGCAGTATAAGTGTTCACAAAGCTAGTGTGATGGCTGATGTTTGCAACTGTATCCGGATGATTCAGCTTAGAATTATTCCAACTCATGTGTTTGTAACAGAATTACGCAAAACTCAGGCTGAGGCAGTAGTAGGGTCTTGACAAACTGTTCCTGTGAACACAATATCTGTCGGTATAGCCCGATCACGATCGCTTCTGTTTTGGACAGGATTCCGTGTATCAACTCCGTTGATCGATTATAGACTATCCGGTAGATGGCCCGGAATGCCCCATTTCGGGTCATTAAGTGACCCGTGTCGCCCACGTCGGCTAGGATGCATTCGTCGCATTTCTATTGATCCCACTGATAGCCAAGATGGAAGGTGTTCTTCAATCCTCTCTAACAATCGCCTAGTGGTTATTCCTACGTATTCTGCTTCGTAGGTGAACCAATAATAGTACAGACAAAAAGAGGTAGACTAAATTGGTAATTTGTCTTTTAGATGTAACCACAGCATAGGCTTCGTCTTAAAGGAGAGACAGAGCTTAGAAGCAAAATACGTGTTTCCGATGATCTGGATGATTAACAGCTAACGTATCTCTTTCAAAATCACTTGTTGCATAAATACTTTTCCTTGGGACAGCAGAATACCAGGGCTGATAATCAATGCCTTTTAATGTAGCTTTCCGGATAGCCGTTTAATCTTGTGCAGCCTATCAGAATTAGTTCATCTGGATTCTTTTTGACGAAGCAGATTCGGCTAGCTTTATGGGCCAGAAGACTCACCGAATTTCGTTTACGTTCCATTGGTACGAAGCTTTGGAAATGAGTGTTGCCCGTTACGCGTGGGTATGTGATGTACACCTCTTTCGGTTCCCCCATCTAATTTCCTTTTTAGAAGCACATCCAAATGCGCGATTGAATCAGTATTCTCTAGCTCAATGGTGAAGGGAAGATTCGGATGAGATTCAATGACCGTTCGTGGGATTTCCTCCGCGTCTTTGTTTGAAGGTACCATCGACAATCGCTTGCACTAGTTAATTCTTGGAATAATGGGTCATAGGGTACTAGTGAGCGTCATGGTCATTGAAATATCTGTGAATATTGGACCAAGAAGACATCCTGTTACTTCCCCATCCTTCTGCTCATAAATGGCACTATCGAACTGGACTTGTACGTTTGCGGTGCAAAATGTATGAAATTCTTTACAGACAGACTGGGACGCCTGTGTTGATAACGTTATTGGCGAGGAAGTCACAAATGTGGTCTATAGATTTTGCGGGAGACGTTTGTGTACAGAGGTGTCACTTCTAGTGAAAACGTCTTTTAGTATTTTAACATTCACTTCTTGAACTGCGTCAGTTCGGTTAACCAACGAGTGATCAAGTGGTAGAGTGAACCGGACATATGAAGAATGTGCCGCATACAAAAATTTGTTTATATATCTTAGGTTTTCCGTGAAGTACCGAAATGATACATTCTGTAGGTCGTTATTACAAATGTTGTGGAGTTAATCGCGCTTTGTTGATTCAAGAGTAGCGGTAATTTGGTTGTGTTTCTCCACAGCAATGATTTTATCTTTTTCAACCCTTTTGTGCTGAACTCCTTTGTGTCCTTCAATAGTTCTTCCATCCTTTCGCGATACTTGGCTATGTCTACTAGTGAAATGCTTGCTCGTTTATCCGAATGCTGTGGGATGGCGAGGAATTAAAGGAAGACAAGTAAGTCCTTGTGGGGGGGGGACTTTACTGTCAATCTGCATGGAAATAGAAACAGAACGCCATACGCGCAAAATACTCAGCGAAACAAAAGCATTGGCGATGATATATTACTGAGAAGGGGGTAGTCAGACGGTGGTGGTAGCGAAACGTGAGCACGCGTCCTCTGGGGTGATAATTGCTAACATTATCACCGGGCTACCACTGCACATTCATATAGCTCATTTCGTCGTCGAATACAGAACAAATACAGTGATTTGAAATTGATTGATTATCCAATAATGTATTGCAGCACTACGTCTTTGGGAACAAAGTGTTTACGAATCACTTATAGAAAACCTAGATTAGCAGACAACTTCTCGAGAGTGTCGTAACACTATTTTGACTTTTCAATACCATTCATCTGATACATATAAAGGCCCTATTTTATTTTATTGCCCTCCATAAAGAGATCGCATACGACCTCGAATATGGCACAATTTCTGATGAGTCGTGTCGTGCGTTTGCTCGCTCTGTAAATCTTGAGACAGCAGGTCACATAAAACTCTCAATGCTCGTTATCAGCTTCGTTCTCAATCCGCTCTAACTCTAGGATCGTACGCGATAGGCTTTATTGGCAGAATTGTTAACGCGTCACCACTCAGCCCGTCCTAGGTGCTAAAGAAATCACTTGAATTCCTTCTAGGCCAAAGACGGTGTTGAAAGGAAAACATAAAACCGAAAAAGAGTGAGAAATCAAGTGGATAAATAAATCTGTCGGAGAACACGAAGAAGAGTAAAGTGTCGCAGTGTCCTCGATACTAGTTTGATCTCACTCATTATAAGCAAAGCGAAAAAGCGAAGATTTTATTGATTTATACACGCAGAAACCGATCAATCAAATGATAAATTGCGCCGAAACATTGCATTTTTCGGGGTTGACTTTCATACAATCGAAGTACAACAGAAACGAATTCCGACGTTATGGATTCCATAAAGTCGCAAAAGTGTAACATCATTGGTTCTTAGCGTGCACGGAATCCTTTCAATTTGAAAGCCACCATGGAAATATCAATGATTCTGAAACCACGCAAAATGAATGCAAAGGATTCGTCAGTGAGGAATTTACAACGAACAAAACAAAGAGACAAATAGTCAATATCATCCTTGTTAAAACGAGAAGAAAGAAGTCCGAAATTGTGAAAAGTAGAATGAAAATACAACTGAATTGATGACTAGAATGAACACGACTAAAGCCAGAGGATTACGAGTAGGTGAGGTCAATACACAAAGATAGGACGCCTCGTTTACCAATAACAGGATTGTTAAGGGAGATTGTTTGCCCAGAGGCGGCTCAATATATATGCTCTGCTGACGAAACTCAATCCGGAGGAAACGGCACTGCAAGGATTCACAGCTCTCCAGCTGAGGCTTTATTTGCTCTAAATATGAAAAATTCAACCATAAACTCACGGAGATATCGCAATCAATGACCCCAAATGTTAATGGACTATTTTTGATAGATGCACTTGATCCGGGAAGCGAATGATGCGTTATGAGTCTGGTTATGTGAATGAGTATGAGTATGCATACGAAGGTGAAAAACATTATCAAAATTAAGTGGAACAACCATGTTAGCGTATGTGATAATTTCAAGATGCCAGGAACCATTCAAGATGAAACCGAAGGTAGTATGATGAATGAGACGTGAACTAGTGCTGCTTGAAATTACAAATTACAAACTGTAAGTCAGGCGATTCATCTCAAGAGGCCTGAACAAAAGAACACTCCTTAAAACATAATTGCGTTCTTCTACAAACAGACAGAATACGATTAAGTCTACTACACTTGTGGAATCTAGCATTACAAAATCTGCTTGGATTTTCTTTCACCGCGGGACTTGACTTCACTCCAGTGGTGTACCAGTTGGTCACCTCTGGCAGAGAAACTGGTGCAATTCGGTTTCTTTGAATCACCTCTGAAGCACCGTTTTGCAACAATGACGAATAGGTGACGAATACGACGACTGGGTGACACTACTAGCAGTTAACAACATATGCAATTCATCCTAAACATTGGAGTTCGTGGGAACCGTTCAAAACCTATCTCGGTTTACTGGAAGGTGAAAGTGTGCGGAGGTAGGGGTTTTAGCTGAAATTCTGACAAATTGATACCAACAATAAATCTTCAAAGTAATTGAATTTTGCAGCTGATCCCCGATATTGTACTTTTATGCATGTTCAAAATGGAGTCACCCACGATATTGGTTTGAACCAAACATTAGTTAATGAAAATTGACCAATTCAGATACCGCGAAATGAGTGGTTGTAGATGTTCCAGTGGCAAGATCTTCAAGGATACGTGAGGTGAAATTATAGGCGTCTCCAAGAATTCGTGAAACGCCCTACAGTCTGTCGTAGCATTCGACTTTTCTTCAGCTGACTCGAAACATCGGGCTCTCAATTGTGTTTGAAAATAGCACAACGTCCGGTTGCTGTGACCTGTAATCGCACCAGAATCTCATACAACCTTATGTAGTCATCTAATGTGCGAAAACCATGAGTGTACCCGGAATTGGCATGTGATGCAACCAACAGAGTTTTGTTATCTATGCAAAACCACTGCTAAGTATTCGTGTCCCTCCATGGGACCTTTTTAGTGTCACAATTACAACTGCAGCATTAAGGAAACTTAGAAAAGTGTTTTCATCAGCGCAACATTCCAGACGCATGTACTTCATCAACAGGAAGTAATCCATGTATTATCGGCATCTTTTCCAATACGTTGCGATTTTTATCTTCAACCTCAGTAGGCTCTTTAGATTCAAAAAGATTCAATGTGTTGGTCCACAAACCGCGAGCGATGGTACAACAAGCAGTGCTTCCGTTTCGGCAGCAGAGTGAAATATAATGCACTACGTCAATTGATGTATTTATAAATTAGATACATATCTGATTCAGGAAATCATTTCAACGCCAACGTTTGGTGATAAATAACAATGACAATCAATAGATGTAACAAAATCACCTGCGAAATTCACTGACACCAAATGAAATGACGTTTCACGAAATAGACACAAACAAAACCTTGATTCACGTAAGAACCCGACATAAGAGAAATGAAACGTTCATGAACGCACCACACGAAATCCGATTTGACCGTGTGTGGTGATTGCTCATGAACTATGAACTCTTTTGTTTTATTGAACACGATATCCATATATATTTCTAAATTCCGCCTATTACAATTCCATTCCGCCTCTGAGTTGACTTCTGATTTCGTTTTCTTCGTTGACTAATGCTCCATCTCCCAAGTCATTCCATGAACTTCGTTCTTTACTTGGTTCTTTACAATACTATTCCAAGTTTATCCCCAACTTTTCAACCCAAGCTGCTTCATTGTTTGATTTACAGTCACAGCAAACATTTCGGTGGACTTTGGTTCATGAACGTGCCTTGAGGAAGTTACTTTCCTTTTTATCTACCAGTGCTGTTTTACGTCCTTTCTCCCCACGATTACATTCTACCGTCATCACGGACGCATCGCCCGTTGGAACTGGAGCTGTGTTGGAGCAGAATGGTCATCCGGTGCTGTGCATCTCACGCAGACTCACGGCTGCCGAATGGGGGTATTCCCAAACTCAACGAGAAGCTCTAGCTGTCTATTGGGCTGTCAGGCGTGTGCACAAGTATCTTTATGGTACTCATTTCACTATTGTGAGTGATCATGAAGCCCTGCAGTTCATTTACAACCCTCAGCGTTCCCTGGCTAAGTCATCTGCAGCCATGGTACAACGATGGAGTATTGCGTTG